TGTTGGAATGTTGGTGAGGATCCCTGCTGCTAGATTGACTACTCTTAAAATCATGTGTCAAGTTTTGCTTTATGCCACACAACTGTTCAAGGAACTTAACCAAATCTGGTTCAAGATAGGAGTCTAGTAAAAATGTATTGTCACTTTGGTCACATGCCTTATCAAAACTAGGAAATATAGTCGGATAGTCAAACTGTGCCGTTGGTGGAAACCTTTTAACTTGTGCCTTAATTACTTTTTGTAGTTTTCTAATATCCACACTGTTTGTTTTCATCTTTTCTAACATAGACTTTGTGTTAGATATTTCTTCTGATAGTGTGTATATATTGTCAGCTACCACTGAAGACACTGGATAACTACTAGGATAACTCATTTTCCCATGTTTAGGACTTCTCCACAGTGTACTCAGATTGTGTTTTTGTACCACTCGTTCACAATACAGTAGAACAGTTTAGTATTTTCTGAAAATCAGTAATATTGGCAAGCATTTTCAGATCATTTTCATACATATCCATTATTTCACTCTGAAATACATATTTTTTCTCAAGTATTTTCTGAAGTGTTTTTGACATACCAGTGCACTGCATTTAACATAGATATTAGAGCTTTGAAGCTCAGTCTAGGCCAGTACAACCTGCTTGCAAACACTGCCAACAATCTGTACAAACTAGTGTAGTTTCAGAAAAGGACTCTGTGCAATACTGTGATTGTGTTTGCCTATAAAATACCAATTACCACAACAGTTGTTTCGGCACACAACACAGTTTGCCATATCAGCAAACCGAAGGAATTTTTTCCAGCATATGTTGCAGAGATGTTTTATATTGGTTTTATTTAAATAAAGTTCACATCTGTTGCTATGAGCCGTACACCACTCTTCTGTTGCCAATCTTTCATGTGTGTTTTTACATACACAGCAGGTTCTTTCTTTTTTAACTGTGTTTTAATCACTTGATTACGTTTTTTTCCCCCAGTATGGTGTACCAGCTTTAAAACACCCCAAGTAGCAGCTTCTACACAACTCAGAACCAACAACAACATTGAAATCCTTGCCCTCACATGCCAATTTGTTTTTAACATACTGAACCCTGTCCATGGCTACTTGACGATATGAACCATTATGAAAATCAGCTTCGTCACTTGAACTACCAAGTGTTTCAAAGACCAAACATGTTCCTGAAGGGTCCGACTGTTTTGCGTTTTTGTGGGGTATTTCATCCATTTTACAAATACAGACAAGGAAAAGGCAAGGTCAATTAATATTTAATAGACAACCATCAAAACCACAAAACAACCACTTTGAAAACGAACTTGTAAACTGTTTTTGTGCCCCCTACTTATTCTTCAACGCTGATTAAAAAAATGCTAGATTTCAGTTTGTTCAGATTCTTGTACACTGCAGCACCAATTCCTGAAAAATAAAAATAAAACATGTTAGACTAAATAATTGTAAGTAATTAATAAATACTCTTGAATTTTATTTTCAATGAAGGCGCTCTTACTTCAAGATTTTGATAATATGGAAAACAAGTTACTAAAATTTTCATAGCAAGAAATAAACGATTCATTATAATTAAGTGTTCGGACCTTTAACAATAATCATGGTTAATACGGGCTGCTCTCCACCACCCGTAACAAAAAATGCGTGCAGTAAAATTTCGAAGAACGTCATCGCAGACAAGATATCGACCCTACACGTCCCAATAATACAGTTTAAGGAACAACTAGGAAAAGGGAATATTTTGTTGGAAATATTACACACAATACTAGGCTCAATTTCGAATGAAATCGTTAAGACATCCGGGCATCAAGATACAGCAGGCGATCAGACTGAGCTACATTACGATGCCTATATGGTTTAGAGATAAACAAAATTAGGCAGGTCTCCAGAAGACGTACCTGCACTTTATGCAATTTTTTTAAAAATTATGCTAATTTATTCATGACGTGTAGTTTCTGCGCTCATGAATATTCATTAATTAAAAGGGGCGATATATTATTTTGGTGGAAGAGTTAGAAAGGGGGAATTAGCAATCCTTAGGGGGTCAATACAAAAGAAGGGACCCATTTGGAGAGAAGCAATCATCTTCGTGTCTGTTGTTGTTGCATGTGACTTGCAGCTGTCATCTGTGTTGGTACTGCAACGATTTGTTGGCTACGACTGGCTTCCATGTGAGGGTGTATTCTTGTGCTCTGTTTTTCTGACTTGAATTCTTGATCTCTCAAATTGCTGGCATTGTACATATCCGCTGAACCATGTGGGTAGTCATGCAAATAAATGATTTGTTGTCATATTTAGCTTTATTGCAAATTAGTGTTTGCGAGAAAAGACGGGCAGGCATGGGAATTGAACCCGGGTCCTCCTGATCACTATGTAGACAACTGACAAGACCACGATGGATTTACTGGTTTTGTTTTGATGATTTGATGAGACTATATAGTGTGTACATATATAGAAATACAACATATTTCTATTATTGAGTTACAATTGTCCATAAAATTGCCAATTTTGTGTTTTTACTTGTGTAAACTATATTGGGTGTTAGCTATTTGCGTTGCCCATACCTGACCCGACCCTAACCCTAATGCCAAGACACGTTCCTGTTAATAATTCCGTTGCCCATACCTGACCCGACCCGACCCGACCCTATATCACGGGGTAAATTCTTCTACTCTCGGGTTCTCCACACTGTCAGGGGGGAAACTCGTCTCGTCTCTCTATCTCGTCCCCTTGAGGTACTGGATCGGGAAAGTCACTTATACTTTACAGTCAAATAAGGCACACACAACGAAATACGTTTCAGCTCTCGTCTTATTCGATCTTTTGGAGCACTCTATAAGACACAGCGCCCTGGGGAAAAGTCCCCAAGACTCTCACAAGGCTGAACCAAGACTCGCCCAAGACTGGACTGCCTCAAGGCTCGCCCCTGGACTGCACTCTCGACTGCCCAGGACTGCACTCTCTCTACTGCGTCTATCGTGCTGTGCTCCCCAAGACCAACTCAAACTCTCTTTATTCATTTTCAAAACTCTAACCAATTACAATGCAGTAAAAAGACTCTAGGGCGTAACCTTCAATCATAAAGCCAATCACACTAAGTACTGAATACGTCATATCTTTTGATTAATCGTTCACTACATTAATAACTATGAAATACCAACTGTCAGAATCGCGACGGTTATCTGGTAATTAGTTCCAAATCACTGAGCCAAGTTCCGTCCAAAACTTCAAATAGACCTAAACGATGACAGACATAACACAGCAATTCAGCTAATAATCAACTAATTAAGTCGGTTAACAGATACGCGAAAACAAATTCATGACACCTAACCCTAATGCCAAGACACGTTCCTGTTAATAATTCCGTTGCCCATACCTGACCCGACCCTAACCCTAATGCCAAGACACGTTCCTGTTAATTGCTCAATAATGATACTCTGTTTGCACTGTCTGCGGGTAAGTTGCATTGATGTCAACTGATTAAAAGTTGCGTTAAGTAATTCCCACTATTAACAAGTGGTTAAATTGTGATAATAAATGTGTGGACAAATATTTGAGATATTTTTTTGGTGTAGACAACTGTCATTCAATAATTTCACACCATTACAATTGTTAAATTGAGGGAATTAATGTGTGGACAAATATTTGATACTTATTTAGGTGTAAGAACTCGTGTTTGACCAACTTCCACCATTGCAATTTGTTAGAATAATGAAATAAATATACTGGTATCATTGGATATCTGATTTAATTGTGAAACTTTCTAACAAAATGTTAACTGCTGACTTCGAACCATCAATCAACAATTCCGCAGACACAGTATAAATTCCACAACACCACAGAAAATATTCGTCTGTTGCCTGAATTGGTTTCGTAATATAGGGAACGCCATCGACACTTACCTTGACTTGGGTCTTGTTTATCTTTGTTGTCACAATTGCGCGTCGTCTAGTTCAAGACGCTAGTTATTTTATAATTTATTCATTCAGTTTTGCATGGTTGAGTTTTGTGAGGTTTATTATTTTTTCGCGACGTTCTTTGTTTACTTGTTACGGTTTGAGGGATTTCAGTTTATTTGATTTACGTTTTTATGGTAGCTCTGAGCGGGACTCGAACCCACTGTCTTTTCAAGCTAATTTTGTTTTATCTCGATGGCATGCTTGTGTGCCACGCCACGACGTTGGTCGTTGAGTGGTGTTCATTTTTCTAACTACTCGAATGTTCCGATGAGTTGAACGGGAAAGCCAAAACGATTGCTGGTTTCTGATTGCTTCGGTTCTGGTGAGGGTGTATCTAGTGGAATTCGAACCCATGGCGTTTGTATTGTGCGTTTTTTTGTGCGTTTTTTCCCATGTTGGGTACGCCGTAATATGCAACCACTTCCCCGTTTTATTGTGATTTTGTGAGTGTTTAATGATGTCTTCCTCACCCGTCACGCCATGACCAAGTTTCAATCATACGACCATTTTGCAACGAAGTGCGTGACCCTTGTCATGACCCGACTGACTATATATGATCGTTCTGTTCAACTGTTAAGCTAGGATTTATTACCGTTATTATAATTATATTGTCACGTGATTTCTTTTACCTTATGTGTAATGTCTTAAGTATCTTTATTGTAATTTGTATATACCAATTCGTATAGAGGAAACAACCCCGATTGAAGGTCATGTATTTTGTGCCGTCACCAATTCGTGTGTAAGTACGACTTCTAGAACCATACCAAAAATTAGTACAGAAATACTTACCAACTAGTAAAATCTAAAATACAACGTTGAAATTCACAAATAGACGTCTTCTCTACGCACATGTATGCAATGTGACTAATCGTGAAACCACGTGACCGTTCACTATGACGTCAGTCCGTCAACCAGCTGTCTCAAGCTCGAAGAGGCAGGTAATGGGAATACGCCATTAATAAAATATGAAATCTGATTGGTCAGGACATGGATTCTTCTAATTGGCTATTCAATAGTACTTCCGGGGCACTTGTTCAAACATGGCGGCAAATTTTAATCTGATGTTGTCGACGAAAATTGCCCTATCAAAGAAGAATATTTGCAAAAAAGGAGGCACTCCCATTACATTTCTAAAGCCGAAGCAAGCTAGATGCATGAAGGAATTGTTTAGTGGAAGATATGTCATTGGTGTTCTTCCCACTGGTTATGGAAAATCGCTGATTTTCGAGCTTCTGCCATATGTGTACGAAGCACTTGAGCTTGCAAGTGGGAGATTGGCGGCGTAGTGCTCAGTACTTGTGGTCAGTCCACTTAATTCTATTAGTAAAGAGCAGAAACAAAGGTATGTTAGTGTCGCCAA